GCCCAGCCAAGGTCAAACCACCACAGGAAGATTCTTCTCCCATGGACTCCAAACCTTCAAGTTTGCAAAGAGGGAACAGAGTACCTATTGACAAATACCCGGTTAAAATAAAAAAATTTAAAAAAAAAAAAAAAAAAAGTTGTGCCTACAGAAGTGAACTGCCATTCTACAGAATGACCTTACAGATTTACCAGAGTTTGGCACAGTTCATTCAAGAATGTTTTTAGTCAACACCTCAGTCTTCTGATGCAATTAACAAGGCAAATGTGACAGAAAACCCTCAACACTTCATATCAAACGGATCATTTGTGTGATGAAAGAAAAAAAATATTACAGTAAGTTACATATCACATACACAGAAGAATTTTATCTCTTTCCTATTAAACTTCGCATCCAAATAGCCAATGGTTAAAAAAATACTCTGAGGAGAGTTGCAGCACTTCTCAAAGGTAGCAGCAGCAAAGAAAAAGCACTCCAGTAAGAATTAGGCTGTTTCCACACATACTAACTTATGAAAAAAATTCCACGGGCAATTTAGAAGATGTATTATTGCATGTAATCTAACACAGCAAAAGTGAATCCTTCCCATCAAAAACAGAGAATTTTAACAATTTTTAAGATATTCTGTAGTCTTATAATACAGCATTTTAGATAAGATTATTTCATACATTTCCCAAAACTGTTTGCATTCGTGTAAGTCAGAACAAAAAGCAGTAAAAGACTTCACAGAATCGAAGCTAAATTTTTAGCTTTTCTTGCAAAAATTAAAAAGTTGTCAAGAATGAAATCTTGATTGCTATTCCTAGAAGAAAACATAGAAACGTGCCAGGAAAATTGCACCATATCAGGAGTTTGGGGAGTTTTCTTGTTTCCTAAAAAAAGAGAGATGTCAGTACACACTGGACTGACAAAACACCTTAATCCGAGAAACCTGAGTGAAACACTTCAAACACACTGGTGGATAACAAGCAAGTAACCAGTCTGCTCCTTTCTAATTTCAGTAGCTTGGAACAGACACGTGGAACTCATTTGTGTGAGCTTTTGCTTTTATTCCTCACCGGGCAGGATCCGTAAAGCGTGGCCCTGGGTGTGCAGGCAGTGTGGCTAGGGGAAGAAAAATTTACAGAGGTAATACCTTGTTTCCTTAAGAGGAGCATTCCATGGCAGAAATGTGCACTGTTTCAGTGAACCCAAATTATTTTTCGTAGCAGAAATTTCATTTTATGCGTATGATTTCTAGTCAGATTTTCCATTTCTGTGAGTTTTGGCTTCCTCCTGTCCGATAAGACGAATGACTTTGTAGCATCCTTTTGCAATTTTGACCATCCACATCACGTTCATAACATCCAAGACAACACTTGAGATAATCCAGGCACTCTGGGCTGCAAATCCTAATCTCTGGAAAGCCTCTGTTCCAAATGAAGAAATTACGTGGCTGTAATATACAGGCATGACGGCAATCCTCACCACGAAGAACACAACTGTCATCAGCACACCATTGATGATGTTGGCCTTTGAAGATTTGGGATATCCCAGTACTTCAAAAAACCACCTGCAAAAGAAGTGTTCACAGATACCAGGCAGACTTGAAGCCATCTCATTTTAAAAGGATTTTATTTCATGGGGTTTTTTAATTAATCATTTAAATTATTAATTGCTTCTACCCATTTCTAAATTATTGCACTTTGTCTTGGCTTAGTTGCAAATTCTTCTGTGTGGCTGCATTTTTTTTTTCCCCACTGAAGCAGTGTGTGATGATACCCAGTACACTGCAAAATAACGTGTAGAAAATCCTGATTTGAACTGTAAACCAGTTGACAACCAGTGTGCATTTCAGTGATGACCGTCACTGTAAGTGTCACACTACAATTCAAGTTCCCTTTCAAAATGATAAATACAAATTTACTTCTTGTTACTATAGTTTGCATCAATGGGCAACTAAAATTCTACCTGTTTTGAAAGCAATTCTAGTATTGCATTTGGCTATGGTAAGCTAGATAGAGCTGTAATTTCCAGTTTCTCAGATTTAGGATTTTCTAGCTGCTCTGTTCAGCCCAAAACCAGAACTTCAGAACCAAACATCGTAAATGGCACCAGATCATGTCACAGCCAGGTATGTTATGCAATGAAAAAGATAAATCTAACCCCCCCCCCACACACACACACACTACTGGGTCGTAAGTGGTCTTTAAAAAAAATTCATGCATATTAATTCCTTAGTAGACGGGCATAACTTATCTATTGCCTAGCACACAGAATCTGCAGGTTGAATTCCTAGAAAAAGGAACAACAAGCTCCTCTAATTCTTTATCATTCACACATAAACGAGAATAAACACAAGGAAAACTTGTGCAACAATAGCAGGTTAAAGACAGGACCAACCAGAGGAAAATTACTTAAATCACTGCATTCATGATGGGGGCTGGGGAGGGAAGTGCAATAATCAATTTATTTTCAAGAAGATATGAGGATAAAACTATTTAACAAAATAACAGTTCTAAAGCTGGTTTTAAAACTAATTTTTAATTTAATTACCTACAGATTACAACCTAGGTAATTACAGATATACTAAAAAGATTTGCCAGACATCCAGCTCTAACTGAAATACTCCGGGCATTCATTGAGAGTGCAACTGAGACAATTAGAAGCCAGGCACTGCAGGTGTCAGTCCAGCCTGGGAGCAGGATACCTCACCACAGAAACACCTACTGGGATCATGAAGAGAGACCCAATGTATTTGGTCAGGCTAACAATCAGAGCCTGTACTTTCACTGATATATACAATGAAGATTCCAAAAGTAATATAAAAAATAGGTTTTAAAATATACTGTGCTGTGCCAATATAGGTAACTGTTAGAAAAAAGGGTAACTGGACATCCGCTTAGCAACTTCCCTCTCCCAGCAAATTCAAAAAACTAGAAGTCAGTAAATCATAGTTATCATTACAACTTCACCCACCACAGTTCATTGTAAGTTACATAGATGCTGATACTAACATTAAAAGATCTGAATGCTTGGCATGGAGACAACCTCCAATTAGAGGTTATCCCTAACACAGACAGGAAATACAAAGAAAATACAGTTCTGAGATTAGAATATCGTTTTCTATTTTAATAATAGCTGTTTTGGTAATACCAAGAATGCAAACAAGAAACATAACACAAGTCGTTATTGTTATCCACTGCTTACTGACCTAAGGGTCTGGTTCTCTTCAAATTTAATGAAAAAACCCAACATTCATGCACTAATGAGATGACATCCCTTAGTGCAAGGGACTTGATTGACTCCTACAGTTTTTCTGAGAAAGCAGGAAATGTGAGTATTCACAGACACATGATCTCACCACAGGCATTTTAAAAGTGTAACATACATCACTTTTAATAGCCAGATGTACCGCGATGCTTCCTAACGCCACAGTCTGAAAGGTAAGCATCAGTTCAGGAACCGCTTAAACCCAGGATGAATTCCTATCTTGGTAGAAGTCAGTTGAGAGAACAGCCACTCACTAGGGCATGAATTTCAGTATAGAAACCTAGAATATAATCCCACCTTTTTCATTTTCTTACTCTCCTCTTCCTTGTATTGCTAAAACAAGTCTAAAGGGGCATTTATTTCCTCCTCGGTTTCTCTGTGCACATGAGCACGGACTAGGTTAGACTATAATCTCCTACTCAACTGCTCTTGGGCAAAGGAAAGCAGCCTCTGGAGAGCTCCATCATCCCACCCTGCCATCCTGTAAGCTGAATTTGCCAAGCTAATGTTCAAAAGGGATGTCAGCATAATCTTTTTTATTCTTAGAGACCTGAGGAATGCTACAGTCTCATAAAATACTTTGGAGTTCACAGGCACAACGCAGTAATGGGTAATTCTCAGGTACCCTGTTTCCAGGATTACAGTTCCTATTTGCCTTACAAACCTTACCCTTTCTCTATCAGACATCCGGAAAAGAAAATGGCTGCCCCACATGTAGGATCAGTAAAGTAGAAACACCCCCCAAAAAGTATGGGTAAGGAGTAGGCATCCGATATGCTGAAAGATCTAATCCTACAGTGCAAAAAAGGAGGAAGACGAGAGGATTGCAGCACGGCCCTACACCAAAGCCCCTCTCCCGAGGCTGAAGTCTTAGAATCATAGAATCATTTAGGCTGGAAAAGACCTTTAAGATCATCAAGCCCAGCCGTTCCCCTAACCCTGCCATCCCACCAAGGCGTGCACAGGCAGTGGGGCTTGCAGAGATGCAACCGTGGGGATTACAACCACTTTGCAGGGGCAAAGGGAGCCACATGCACCCCAGCAGCAGAGGTGGTGGAAACCCCACAGCGATCTGGCTGCAGAGATGCCTTTGCACCGTGGTGGGGCAATGGGGCTGCCAGCCTATGAGCCCATGGGCTGTGTCAGCTGGGGCACATGCCTCTCTCGGGAACTGTGTGCCATGCATTGCTCATCACGGCCTCAGTGCTGGCTCCCTGCAGGCACAAAAGGTGTTTAAGGATTTCATTCAGCTGCCAAACCCTTTGGACAGTGAGATATGGTCACCACCCTACACAGTAACAGCAAATGAAAGCATGAACCATAGAATCATAGAATCATTTAGGTTGGAAAAGACCTTTATCATCATCAAGCCCAACCGCTCCCCTAACCCTGCCATCCCACCACTAAACCCTGGCCCTAAGCGCCTCGTCTGCCCGGCTTTTAAATACCTCCAGGGATGGGGACTCGACCCCTTCCCTGGGCAGCCCCTTCCAGTGCTTGACAACCCTTTCAGTGAAAAAATTTTTCCTAATGTCCAACCTAAACCTGCCCTGGCACAACTTGAGGCTGTTTCCCCTCGTCCCCTCTTCCTGGGGCAAATCCCTGTCCCCGGCTGGGTCACGGTGGCTACAGAGTAAGGAGATTGGCCACCCCCCCCCAGGGCACCAGGAAACTCCATCAACCGCTTTCCCCTACCTGCGGTACACAGCATTATCACGCTCCTTTTCCGGCACTCACAGCAGCAATTCTAGTAGCAGCCCTATAACCAGAAGCCACAGCAGGCTCCAACTGGCCTCGACCTCTGCACAAGAGCCTTCTGCCACTTTCATCTCTGATCACGAGCGTGAAGATTAACCATTCCAGATATATTTAGGTGCTTTACTATTTTTCTAATTTAAATGCTCAAAATAATTCCCAGAACTATTTTTGAAAGTAAATAAAGAATATACACTTATATTATTCATATTTGTATGCATATATTAATATTGATCTATATCTATGCAGTATTGCAAAATAAACTTCAAATTGTCTAGGGCAATGCAATTCCATTCTAGGATTCTGATGACAGTTATCGTGCTTTTTTTTTCTGGTCCGTGATACTAAAAAATAAAAATTCCTATTGAAAATTATAGCTTTATTGTAATAATTAAATGGACATACAAAGGCTAATAAACAATATTATATTTGTGAACTTTTTTGTTCAGTAGTTTCATAAAAATTTGGCATTTCATATGAAGGCTGGCCTACTCTAAAAAGGAAATCAGGGGTGCATACATTAATTATACAGTTGCAGCTAAGGCAGCAAAAAGTTTTCATAGCAAAAAAAGGTTTCCACATAGTAATCCTGAGTTCAATATGTATAAATTCCCTTTCAGCAGACACACAACAGCAAAAAAAAAAACCTTCCTAAGTGACAGAAATAATAACACAGATTAAAATTTTAAAAACTACGCAAAAATTCACTTACCGCTGATTAACGAAAGGAGTGGAGAACTCTGCAAGCAGACGGAAGTTTCCAAAATAAGCCAACAGACCTTTGCTCTGGTTAGCAAAACAAAACAGACATATAAAGATCAACACCATACATGTGAAATCTTGATTAAAGTTTTCAAGCATATACAGAACGATCCAGCACCTCAACTTCTTTATTGAAACTGACAGTAAGCGAGTTTGCCAGCTGTGGCAGACTTCCTTACAATTTCAAAATGAGGTTTACTACAAAATCATAGAATCATAGAATCGTTTAGGTTGGAAAAGCCCTTTAAGATCAGCAAGCCCACCCGTTCCCCTAGCCCTACCATCCCACCACTAAACCCTGTCCTCAAGCACCTCGTCTGCCCGGCTTTTAAATACCCCCAGGGATGGGATTGAACCAGTAGTTTCTTACTTTAAATAAATCTTTAAAAGACTTACAGTTAGGTGGCGATGGAAAGCTAGCTAGAGAAGACTGGCACAAGTAGTCACAGGTTGCAATTATAATGATACTACTACTGTCTAAGGGAATTATAAAATATTTTGGATTTTTCAATGTTTAAAACAAGCCCAAACAGAAACACGGTAAGCTAAAGAGAAAATGTCCCTGCATTGTTTTAGGAACATAATTTACCAAAGTGAAGATGAATTCCCAGCTCTTATTTGGCAGCAGAAAGGGCACATAGAGCCCTTTTTTCTCTCCCCACCAGTGCAGGGGAAACCCTTTCCACCATCTGCCGTGTCCTGCGGGCTGGCAGAAGAGCGCATCTTCTCCTTGCTGGTACCCAGATACAGAGGCGTGGTACATCTACACGGATACACCTTGTAACACCACGCTTTCCTCCAAGTGACAAAGTACAGCATGTTCTCTGCCTTGTCATTTGGTTGTGCTGGAGATCGTATCCCATTACACCATGGCTGGGTAAGCAGCAGTTCGCAGATGTAGAGATAAAAAGATTTTTTTAAAAAAAAATTCCATAGGTCTCCTGAGCAACCTAGGGAGTGTGTGCCATCATTCCTCCTTCCCCTGCCGAGCGTGCTAATACCCACTGCTTCAAGCATTTCATCTCAGTTCCCGCTACACCAAACAGAAAATCTGTGTTCTTAATCAAATTCTCTCCTCTCTTCAAGAGCAATTTTTGAAATAAGATACTTATGAGTAACTTTCTCTGAAGAGCCTGAGCGTAACACGCAGACATCCGAGGGCAGAGCTAGATCCAAGTAATCAGAACTGCTTTAAAAGAAGTTCACACTAACACGACACTTTCTATTTACTCCAGAAACAACTAATGAATTTTCTGCATCAGGGATTAGCCTTGGTAGCAGTATTTTCATTTCTCTAACATTCAGCTCTAGTTCACTTTCATCTGTGATAATATTAGTAGATCTAATTATCTTCAACCCAAAACAGAGTATTTAACTTGTCAGTTCATCCCCGTTAAACCGTTACATGGGAAATCTGACAGTAATCTGGCATCTCAACACTTTTAACGTCGTAAGCCTGGGATTCACACAGCAGGCAGGGAAAGAAATGTGATAATAAGAAATGTGTATTTTATAAGATGTCTTTATTTACAGAATGAGCTTTTCAGAAGAAATTCAGGAGCGTTGTTCTGGAGGAGGTCAATGGGATTTCTACCAAGTCACATGGGCATTTCTGAGAAATTCCAGCAGCAGCAAAGAGTAACTAAATCAGTCTTTTTCTACAATAATATCCTTCTCTTCCCCTTCTCCCTTCAATGTATGTACACCACAGATATTTCTAGATATATACAGTTAATCGTCCATTGTTTCCCCACCAAAGTAACCTTAAACAAGAAGTCTCAAAGGATCAGTTTATGTCATAACAGATTTAAAAAATAAAATAAAATAGGGGAAAAAAAAACACCCCAGAAAAACCACACCCAGCTGATTGTAGTACGTTCACCAGAGTTAGGGATCACTGACCTACGGCCTCGCAAATACAATCACAAGCAGAACATAACCACTTGAAACCACTACCTTGTAATTTTCCAACAAAATATTCACACTTGTGGTTTTCCTTGAACCCCTTCTCTATAACCATGTGAAAAGCCCCTCTGTCAAAGTCGCTCTACAGCAAAAACTGAGAAGAGTTTTAATTTCAGTGGTTAAGTAAGTTACACATTTTTGTTGAAAGATATGACTGATAAAACCATTTAGAAAGTGATGATGATTGAAAACATAAATATGCCTTTCACAAAGCTAATACGCTGACCAGGGAAGAATTTTTTTAAACACTAAGCAAGTGAGATCTATCAAAGCATTGTCTTCAATCTCATCTGCTTGTTATGTTACTGGAAAATACAGCACTCACCAGTACAAAATAGTAAGCATACAGAGCTGCCAGGTGATGTATTACAAAAAATTTGTCACCGATTGCCTTCCAGTAGTAAATAATAAGCAACAAATCTACAAGAGAAAAGAAATAAAGAACAATTAATTACACTACTGTTGACCTCAGAACAGTGTTTCTCTAAGTTTTAGAGGTATAAATGCCAACATATGGCATCAGCAGAAACTCTCTGAGTTAATCATCTCCGAAGAGAACATCTTTATCCTAAAGACTTTACTGTAGTCAAAGCATGAAGCAACAGTATTCTTCCAACAGTCGCCATAAATCATTACTTTCCACATCAATAAGTACAAAGGCAATAGCTTTAGCTGAAATATTTTGGAAGGAAACTGTGGATCCAGAATCTCAATAGCAAGACTTTTCACTTATGAACCCAAAAATCTGGAACAAGTGACCAAAACAAAACAAAACAAACAAAAAAAAAAAAGGTGGGGGCTACAGGGGATGTAGCCAATATACAAATACATGCAATAAATGCAGGGAACTATTATGGGGAGCTTCTGAATCAAAAAGTAGTTATATAAGCAAACAGGGAACCATTTGCCAAAAATATTTTGCAAAGGGCACTGGGAACGAGAAGCATCTTTGCTTTATTTAATTACAACTTTCCAATTACTGCAAAAGTGCCATAGTGGACCTGAGTTAATGTTGTAAGGAAAGCTTTGACAGAAAAGTTCTTTCTTATCCCATGATGGTCTGAGATTTCAGATTATTTTCTTTTCTATACTGGAACAAGCAATTTCTGCCCCGACTTTCTCCAAATGAGTACTCTGGACTGAAATATTAGTGACCAAGTTCCAAATCAAAGACTTTACCCCTGTGCCTTTTTTTATCTCCAGCAAGTGCCTTGATCTCTTTTATATTAGCTATCCTGAGGCAGGACTCTATATCATCTGACATAGCCACTCCACTTCCTATTAATAATTAAACATTAACTATATAAGGAAGCGAGAGAGAATGAGTGGCCAGGTTCAGGTCTCTGTTCAAAGGCATTCATTAATTCATAATGAAAGTCTAATGCATAATTATTCAAAAATAGATACCAATGAATTTAAACATGGGAGCTGACGTTCTTCTTATGGAAAAAAACGGACACTTATATTGACCCATAGTTTAACTGGGTGTGCTGATCCCAGATTATCAGTTCCACCAGGGTGAGAAATCTAAACTGAGAAATAATCAAGTCCATGGACAAGTCTCTGTCCAGAGGCTCCATCCTAACATGAGAAGTTTTCCCTGAAAACAGTCCAAGCCACAACAAGGTTTTGCACTATCCCCACACACTGTAAAAGAAAGCTCCAAAGTCTTTGGTAGCAAAATTCCCACACCAATTTTAGTTGACAGCAAATAATTAAGAACACAAAATATATGTCGGGGTAAATGCAATACCAAGAAAATAATTTAAAATTTCCATGGGTTATATATAACTAAATTTTGGCTTAAAGTGAGAGTAAAAGGTGGGTGGGCAGAATCTTACGGCATTGTTTGCTTCAGCTTGTATTGAGGGTTAGTACAATTCTTCTGCCAGCATTCTGAGGCCACAGGAAGAAACATATGATAAAAGAGCCACGAGCTGTAGACACCCTGAAGGGAGTGAAGGGTGCTGCTTTAACACCTTCCCAATTGGCTGAAGGACAAAAACCAAGCTGGAGTTGGTGGTTGTGTATCAAACCATCATAGAGCCACACAGCGGCACTTCCTCCGTGCTTGGGGAGGTATCATTCCAACTTTCACATCCACTGGCAAGATCCTCTGATTTCACCACAACCCACAACTCCATCGGCCTTTTTAAAAGCCACAGTAGAAACTGTATTGTATACACATACCGCATCTCCAGCGTAGTGGCCCGGTATAAATATATAGGCATAGTGACTCAATATAAATATACAGGTTGCGTGTGTTATATGCACGTTGCATAATTACCAGAAATGAGGTAGCCTGCGGTAATAGCAATATTCAGTTTCACAATTGAAGGGTCACCCCTGTAAACATACCAAAAATAACACAGTTATAGCTTTTGTAACAAGGTAATTCTTAAAGCACATACACATATCAAACACGTAACATCCGTCAGGTCACCTGATTCTTGGCCCATCAGTAAGATGTTATGAGATTTGGTTAAGAAAGGTCCTAATCATGAAAATGGATTCCTTTTCCACCCAGATAGAAGACATCTGCTAACTACCCCAGTCAGGATTCCCCCCAGCCTTGGGGTAGAGGCTGCCCCAAGAGCCTTGCTAGAGACTAGAACTGAAACACAGCAAATACCCTGAGCTGGCTTCTCTGGAAACAGAGGATAAAGGAGAACAGCCCAGGCAGCATGTCTCAGAACTCTAACTGACACCCTATGCCTCCATTTTTGTTCTTCCACCAGTGTTAAAACTTCGTTAAGGATGACAAAAATATCTCGCTCAGCTGGTGCTTTTCATATTCCTAAGAGGATGGATGCTTACAGGGATAAACAGAGTAGAAGGAGACATGAAAGGAATTATTTGCCAGTTCTTTGGAGCCAAGGAACCTTCGAGGAGAAATGCTTTTCAGGGTATTTTCACACCTTCTGTCCCTTCCCTTTTGGTGCCAAACTTTCAGCAGGCAAGGCTCTTAGTAGCACATGCACAGCTTCAGCTCCTCTAGGATGTTCACCAAACCCAAACTTGTGAATACAGCTCACAAAAGGGAAGCATCCACATCACAGCAAGTAACATTTGTTCTTCCCTCCACTGTCCTCTGTGCATTCCTACTTTGAGGAGTTTGGTAAGCAAATCTCTTTTCTTCACCTTAAAGATTATAACTTCTTTTTTTTTTTTTTTTAACTGAGTTGTGCATGTAGTCAAGATACGTTTTGTGTAAGTATCTAGTCATGTTTTGTGTAAGTATGAATTGAGCTTCAAGTGGCAGGTCTACAGATTTCCAAAATGCAGACTGCTCAAGACGAGATGTGAAAGCAATCTTTGTTTAAAACCTTCTGAGAAAAAAGGAACATAACTGTGCTTACAGCCACCTCCATCACAAAGTCTGCCTCAGCTAGAAAGCAGTAAAATGCTATTACTTAGCTATTATTTTTTAATCCTATTGGAATGAAGCAGTGGGAGAGATTTCCCATATTATTACAATCTGTTCACTAAATTTTAAGGCTTTCTTAGCATCTAAAACTGCTTCCCTGAGTGAGAGGGTAGCTTACAGGAGAATAGAAGGACTCAACCAGAATTCTGCTGTTAGGTGAGGAAAAACATGACCAGGAGAGCCTGGAGCTTACTCCATCTCCTAAGATCGGCCATAGAGGCTCTCTTAACTCTCTCCATGAGACAGGAACATTTTTTCCACGGCTTCAAAACCTGGTTTCATGAGCTACATAGGTTGTGGGCTGAGTGCCTCTTCAGGTGTAGCTCTTCTGAAAGTCACAACCAGACACAGAGCATAGACAGATGTGTTCTCACAGCTTTAGCAGACACTCTTTAAATAGTTCCAGCCTTCCCATTAGAGCTCCCAGCTGCGGCAGCGGCAACATCATAACCAAACTTGTAAGTGCTCCCAACACATCGTCACCGAGATTGAGCCAGCACTCAAGAACTTCCATATTCTTCTCCAGAGAAGGTGAAAAGGACTGAGTATATGAAGTTGGTTCCTTGATGTTGGTAAACATGACTTAACTGGATGAGACAGGGACATATTCAATTCCCTTCGTTCTTTCCATGAGAATGGTCACCTTGCGATAAACCTTCTCTAGACTTACTAACCCAACACTTCCACAACACCTATGGCTGCACTGCCCATCTGGCACCTTCCTTCAAGAAGAGGCCATGTTAGAATCTCAAGTTATTCTCAATTAATGGAAAACTTAACTTAGAATTTAGTCTAAAACCTTCTAGATTTCCTGATCTGTCTCACTGAATGGGAAGTGCAATGGAGCTTAGGAGCCCTGATGTTTGCAGCCTAGTTTTGATGCAAGCAAGAGCCAGGAGTGACAAACAGGGACTGACTTGAATAAGCAAAAGGGAAGAGCTATCTCCTTCATGATTGCTAAGGACACGAACATGCGCAGGCAGATATAACAAACAAAAGTCCACATGACCGACTTTCTTTGAACTTCTTTGCAGATATTTTGCAGATACAGAGTCATAGTATATAAAAATAAAATGGCAATCAAACATCAGACTTCAAGAAGTGTAATGACTGTGAAGTGGACAACCATATGAAAAAGCCTGCTCTCTTCATAAAAAGAAAGAAGAAAGAAAAAAAAGAAGCTACAACTTAATTCACTTATTTGCATCTTCTCCCTCTCCTTAGCTGATCTCTACCACCTCCACATCTTCTACCATGTTATTCTCACCACCTCAGAAACAATTTCTACACCATCTATGTTAGCTAGTCGGTATTACATATAGAATAAAAGGCAAAGTGTTAGGAGAAGTCCTAGACCATCAAAAAAGGTGTATGTACAGAACGCCAATGCTTCCCTGTAACTTATCAGTGTTCCAATCGTTATTATCCTTTGTTAGGATCTATTGTATCTAGTTTCAGGCATTACCTGACAGTACTCTCCACTGAATCCGAACCCTTAGCAGGAGTCCTGATCCCTTTCAAGACATATGGGTACCATCATTACCATGCATTTAAGCTTCACGTGAACCCAGAAGTTAGGCTGACATACATAGAGGCTCAGAACTTGTGATTTTCCATTATAGGTATCTTTAAATTCCATAGAAAAGAACTGGTTGGATACTGTCATACAGTCAATGACTGCACAAGGATGGTGGCAGTAACTAGAGGGGAAGAGTGTCGGTAGCAAAGCCTTCCCAGTAGTCTAAAATTGGAGCATCTGTGTAATGTTTTCAGGCTACCTGGGCTAGAAGAGTGCAAGAAAGCTGCATGAAGGATTCCTGGACATTTACTTACAAACTACTGAACCTAGATTCACAAATGTTTCTTGCATTGTTAGTAAAAGACGTGCGCATCCTTCATATCTGTAAACGACCAAGTCCCACGGCTTATGCCTACATTTGAGAAGGGCATTAGATTTCCAGACTGAGTAGCCTTGCAACAGTCCGTCTGGCATTTCCCATATAACTTGGTTTTGATTTAAAACACACAGATTAGATATACTCCTACTAGATTTTTAAATATATATATAAAGTTTTCCTTACTCTACCAAATGTAAATAAAACCACCGATAGCAATCATTGTAAATGTATCCGAACAGAAGGAACTATTTAGAAGCAATAGCAGAAATACAGAAAAAAATCCCCCCAAAGGCAGATGGATTTTGTCTTTTAAGATTTAATGTTTTTACATAATCTTGGATGCTAAGACTCCATAAGCAAGATTAAGTTTTCAATGCAGTGTACAAAAATATCTAACATAGCTTTTCTCAAACACACTAAGAACAAAAAAGTGGCTCAATTTCTGCTTAATTTTATTTTTTTCTGGAATTATACCAGGAAAATTTAGTAAATTGTGAAGACTCAATTTATTTATCATCGTCAAGAGGCTTTTATTTCTGCCATTCATTACTTCTTTTGTACTGTTTAGAACAAGGTCTACTCAAACAAACCAGGATAAAAGTTTCTATCTGATAAAGCTTACCACAACACACAGGGAGAGTTATAATAACATGCTCCTTTTCAACACGGTTAACAGATCTCGTAAGATATTCAGACTGTATTTGGTGTTGCTAAAGATACAGGAATACAATGAAAAAAAAAAAAAAATCCAGAACAGCCAAGAATTTAATCATTCACCACTACATACAGAAGAGGCCAATGCTGCCTAAATTTGTGTTATGAATTAGCGTTACATTTATTAAAGCCACATAACAAGTCAGTGGCAGAGCGCTTCAAGCACCCAACAAGCATCAGATGTTAAATTTATGTAAGGTTAAACTGACTCACAGTGTGGCCCTTTGACAAGGTTAAAACAACAATCTATGATAGAAACATGAAATTCAATTTAAAGTAGTTAGTTAGTCTTCAAGAAAAATACGGCCTCTTCCTTCTGTAGGGGAAGAGTTCCAGAGGATAACGAGTGAAATGTCAAAACACCAATAGCAATCTGTAATTAACTAGACTAAAACAAAGGCATCTTGTTCCTCCTCCCTCAAAAAAAAGGGTGAAAGAAAACAATATAACTAGAAATCAGGAAAAGATAAGCTTAAAATGGAATATTTTCTTAACTAGAGAAAATATTAATAGTCCATTTATTAAATATTCCTATCGCTTGTGAAGACAGCACTTGAAACTTCCATACTTTTTTAAAACAAAGATTGATAGAAGCTTTATGGGAGGCAGAAATATAAACATCTTGATTTATCAATGTAGACATATATATTTTATCCATAAAATAGGCCCCTCTGCTGCTTTTTCCTCCCCCCCCCCGACCTGCAACAGCATTTCATTTTCACTTTAAAATTATTATAGTAAATAGCATAGTTTCAGTCACACCAGCTTCCAGTTACCCTCGTGGTTCTGTGCTTTAGTAATTTAATAGGCTATTTCAAATCAATTGCTTGTATTTCATCTATTCCACTTCACAGAGACACTACGCACTATGACATTAATACTGACAGAATAATTTGGGATTATCAAATAGTACAGACAGAAATGGACAAGTCACAACTGCATATTTTAATTGGAAATTAAACAATTATTTCAGTAATTAATACACTGCAGGATTATTTTGTTCCTTCTCAATTATGCTATTTTATTGTGTAAAAAAGACATATATGTAACATTCCTTACCAGAGACGGTCAGCATTAACAGCGTCGTCGTACAACAAAATATACAGGCAAAACCCACCAACCACCAAGGCGTGGAATGTGGACACTGTCCTGAAAAAGAGATCACAGTCACGAGGCGGTACTGCCATTCACACCTTTATGTGCTGTGCTGAAGGCAGGGTGTTTCCAAAGACATCCTCAACTGCATCCAGATACCTCTGTGGAAGACAATCATCTCTTCTTTATGCTACATCCAACCACGTAGACAATGACAGGTTGGCAAAACACTCAAACAGAAGGAATTTATTAGATTGGGGGGGGGGGGGGGGGCGTAAATAGAAAGTAGGGTCTTAAAGTAACTGAGATCCACATTTTCCTCTGATTCTCCCATCTGTTTATGAATCTTTAAAGACAATATGACATCCACTTCTCAAATACTTACTTTATTGTCCCACTCGCTAGAAAATCTATAGGCATTTCATATTCAGATTGGCCCGCGAGTCCTGCAGCAGCAGATTTCTCCTTTCAGGCACCAAATTAATACATGACCCATCATAAATCTGCCAAGTTCAGGTTTTAGAAATACGGGCGTTAAATGAAAAATCCTATAAAGGAAAGTTTCAGAAAGAATTCCTAGTGCGTTTAAGTAGATTCCAGTTCTCAAAGAGAAAACTTGTGTAAGAAGAGGTCGCAGCTGAGTATCTGAGGCCTAACAGCTACAGGTTCATATGAACTGGCAGCTCGTGGCTTTGCTTTATTTTATACTGCCCTTGTCCTATATAAAGTCGCAGCAATCAGAGTTGCCTTGTCCATACTTGGGTACTAAACACTTTTTTTCCCAAAGACACCAGCCTCAAGTACACAGCCTGCATGCACACTGTCGATAAACTCTGCATGTTAACAAGCACTTAAAGAGAATTACCTATTTACAGTGGCCCCGACGGGGTTTTTGCCAGCACACAGGCCAGGGCCATTCCTGCCCTTTTGAGTCCGCATGTATTCTTAGAAGTTAGAACAATGCAATGGGCACAGGTCCAAAATGTGTAACCTTGTTCTCTAGCCATGGGTTTAACACTGCTGCAAGAGGCATCTAATGCTGTGTAGCTACCATCTGCATTCCCCCTTTTTAAGTAGGAATAAAAAAAAAAAAAAAAAAAAAAAAAGTGTGCCAGAAAAGCTCTACCGAATCACGGATAGTATCTGAAAGATGAGAACTCTTAAGTAGGACGCTTCATAATCAGAAACACCTTTGCACCATAATCACAGCATTAACAACACGCACACAAATATACCGGTGCTGTTAGTTATTAGTCTTGTCCTTGTACGTATTGAATACAGCTATTTGGAAGTTATCAGTATTTTAAATGCACATAAGTCACTCTCAGGAGTCTAAACTCTACCATGCAAGATTTGAAGAAAAAGTCTTACTTCCTGTGGAAGATTTTGTGAAGAAAAGAGTAGGTTGTAATCCCTAGCCTGTTTCCAGAAGTTATATTATTGTCTATTGGCAATAGGGGATTCTGCCACTTTTCATAAAAGAAGTCTCTATTTACAGTATTTTTAAAGAGTATCATCGTGCTATTTTCAGCAGCTTTTTCAAGTGTTCCAAAAAATGAATGAAGATTAATATAAAATAAATAGCCAAACGTACTAAGCTGAATGAGAACATTTACTAACCATCATAGCACAGGCTGCTTCCCCCCCCCCCTTTTTTTTTAAACAAAAGAAAATGTAGTTATCAGAATTTTAATCATAATTAATAGTTTAATTAAAATGTCTACTCCTGCAACACAGAATTAACAGAGAGCTAGGAACTTTGCTTCCTTTTTAAATCAAAGCAAGGCGTATAATACTAGTGTTTGAGAAATACCTGGGATTTTTGAACTTCAGGACAGGATTATGCTGAAAGTAGTAAAATTTGTCCTAGAATGTAGCTCATTAGTTTACAGCTGCAATTTGTCTCAGGAGTGGCTGTTTATCCAAACCTTAGTGTTTAGAATACAAGCTGTACACAAGCACAGTGCTTGAAGGGGGAGGAAAAATAAAAAAAGAAGAAAGAAAAAAAGCAGGTTTCCTCCTTAACTCTGGACTTTGAAGTTTCTCCACAGAAGAGGGGACAGAAGAAGGGAAATAGTGCCACACTCCATTTTCATATGGAATCTAGGTCAAGCTATCAAGCTCAGTACATTTCCCTGAAATTACTGTCAAAGCTTGCATCCTTTAACTCCTCAACAAACTGCAAACAAAAAAGTTGCACTGGTAAGTTGCATACTTGTTCCTTTATTATTGAATATGTTTTTTTTTTTTTTCCACAACTGCTTAATAGCAGCACAAGCATGTGTTGTAGAAGAGGTGACGGGATTTTATGCACAACAAATTAAAGAATTGTACTACATCTGTGTTGAAGTATAGTTTTTAACTCAGTTTGAGCATCTGCATAATTAAGATGCCAGAAGCAATTACTTTATCGGTTCTTAATTCTTGGAAGGTCAGAATGAACAAATTGACAGCATGGAAAACACAGCCCAGAGCTGCAGCTCAAATGCTTGATCACAAAACTCTCCAAACTATAAATATTTTCAATGCCACAGCTCATTTCAGGCAGATGCCCTCTTCCAGACCCAGCTGAGCTGATAAAAATGCATAACCATCCTCTGTGCCAGTTTCCTTCAGGACTGCCAACAGAACCATTTGTGTGAGCACTCCCTACCCCAGCTCAGTATGGGACAAAATAACAAACGTCTACTTTTAAATCAGCTAAATTAACCCAAATCATTTTACTGGGAGATAGTAACTTTCTCCACCTGCAAAGCTGTCTGCAGAGTACATGTATCTCCACCTACGTTCTCTGAACACGTAAGATATTCCTTGGGGAGTCTCTTCATTTCGGTGAAGCACTGGAGTGACGAGGCAGTTTGACAAATGTTTGGTCAGCAAAATTAACAGTCAGTCTTTTGTAGAAACAGAAGCACAGTTAGCCTTTCTTTCCCTTCGTGCCCTCCTCAGGTGTGTAACATCAACAAGCTGTTGATGAACGATGCTTTGTGTTTCATGCCTTCTAACTCCAGAACTGAATGTAGCACTGGGCCACAGCTCATCTGGGTGCTAGTATCTACATCCTGCTATCAACCCCGAGGAACAAATGTGGAAAGAAGTAAAAAAGGACACAGCCTGGGGTGCTGTATCAACTCGAGGAGTTAAACACCTTACTACAAAGTAGCCCAGAGATTACAGAGCAGCTTATTTCCAGCACGCTTGTGATGTGTGACACAATTCATATGTTATTATGCAAAGCACTACAACTTAGCATAGTGCTACCAGGCATGGGATAAGTTCTCAGAAAGCCTATTATGCAATTCAAGGGTCACTTGATGTGGCTTAGAGACAAAAGTTCAGCTCCAACATGATAACAGTTTAGTTTAGTTTCCCCGTCTGCCCCTATTGTCGATTGTAACAGGGATAAACCTAAGCTGCACCGATATCGTGAACTGGCATCCTACAGAGTTGTTCTGGCAGATAGGTAATTACTCAAAGATCGAAGTGGTTAAGATGGTGCCTGTAAGAACACTGCAGGTGGACATCTGCCAAATGGAAGGGCAAGACTATTTGAGTTGCTAATGCTGCCTAGAACAATGGAAACTACTTTAAAAGTATCCACCTGATACTGCCTTTAAACAGCACTGAGGAGGAACAGTGATACGACTAACGCATTTTGAGTGCAGCGACAGCCGTACAGTACACATTTTTGAGCTTTCAATTTGAGAAACACTTGAAAAATATTTTAAAGTTATACTTTATATATGTATACCATATAATAAAGCACAGTTATACTGTATCAATTCATTTCAACCAGAGAAGCTTGTGTACTATCAGAGTAGTATATTGCAAATAAAGCCTCAGTGACAGGACAAGGGGTAATGGTTTTAAACTAAACCAGGGTAGGTTTAGACTAGATATAAGGAAGAAATTCTTGTAAATGAGGGTGGTAAAACACTGGAACAGGTTGCCCAGAGAGGTAGTGGAGGCCCCATCCCTGGAAGCATTCAAGGCCAGGTTGGACGGGGCTGTGAGCAACCTGATCTGGTTAGCGGTGTCCCTGCTCCTGTGGGGGGGTTGGACTAAATGACCTCTAGGGGTCCCTTCCAACCCAAAACATTCTATGATTCTATGATCCTGTCTGCAATTACTACCCTATACTTCCTTCATGGCTGTGAAGAGAGGAAGGCGCCCAGGGAAGAGTCACAGGGTTGAATAAGTTTCTAACAGCGCTCTGGCTGAGGCGACAAGTGTAATGCAGGTGAATCCACCCCAGCCAGGGAACTGCAGGAACACCAAGGGGGTGAGGAAGGTTTTTACATTGGGTTTCCACCACTCCTTCCTGAGCGTGTACCCTGTGTCTGCCATAGCTTCCCCTGCCTCTCTTCTTGCAGTCTCCTTCCTCACCAACGCACAGCTGTACCTGTGTCTAACCCTGCCTCGCTCCAATACTACACCAGAGAGTCATCGAATTTCTTGGGAAAAGGTAACTTTTATGAAACAGGTTGTAGTGTGGTAGCACCCGGAGAACAGAGAGCAATTTGCTTTGCACCCAAAAGCACGAACAGAGATACACTAGCATTTTATTGCTATAGTTTTGATTTTCATGTATGTTTGGGGGAAGAGAACTTTGTACCTCTCCTCTGTACTAGAAACATCACAGAGAAGCTATTTAAAAATCAACCCACTCAACTTATTACCGCTCACCAAGTCACCATTTTCTTTTTCTACTGACTTTCACTTGGGCATCACTGTCTAACAAAGCGTTTAATGTACAAGTGCTCATAATGCTGTGTGTTCAAGAAGGGGCCTCAGCATTTTACATTCAGAATTTTTCAAGTGCCTGGAGCCGTCCCTCTAATCTGTACAGACGTTTAACTAATAACCTTTTCTGCAGTTCTATATATACACACACAGGTGGTTCAGATGTCGACAATTTCAGTAGGGCATTAGCTGTAGTTTGTTTTGAACACTTCTAGGTTAGACATTAGGAAAAATTTCTTCCCCGCAAGGGCTATCAAGCACTGGAAGGGGCTGCCCAGGGAAGGGGTCGAGTCCCCACCCCTGGGGGGATTTAAAAGCCAGGCAGACGAGGTGTTTAGGGACAGGGTTTAGTGGTGGGATGGCAGTGATAGGGTAATGGTTGGGCTTGATGATCTTAAAGGTCTTTTCCAACGTAAACGATTCTATGATTCTTTACCTTGAATTCCATTCGATCTTCCTTTTTTGGCTGAGATTGTTAAAACCAGGTGTTATCCGTGTTGACACCCAAGAACTTAAAACATGGAACAGGAGCTGAAATACAGTAAAACTGGCAACAGCAATGCCAACAGTCAGGTTGCTGAAGGAAGCCATTGTTCTTCAGCCTGTGAAGAGAAGCAAAAAGTAATTTAAGCCAGGCAGGCGAGGTGTTTAGGGACAGGGTTTAGTGGTGGGATGGCAGTGATAGGGTAATGGTTGGGCTTGATGATCTTAAAGGTCTTTTCCAACGTAAACGATTCTATGATTCTTTACCTTGAATTCCATTCGATCTTCCTTTTTTGGCTGAGATTGTTAAAACCAGGTGTTATCCGTGTTGACACCCAAGAACTTAAAACATGGAACAGGAGCTGAAATACAGTAAAACTGGCAACAGCAATGCCAACAGTCAGGTTGCTGAAGGAAGCCATTGTTCTTCAGCCTGTGAAGAGAAGCAAAAAGTAATTTCAGTCCGTTCTCCATCTGACTATTTTAAGCAGCCACAGAAAGTGTTTTTGACAGCTAACTACCAACAGAAATCTCATTCACTAAAAGTTTCATCCTGTTCAACACTTCTACTTAAGTCTCGACAATCTAAAAGTATCCCCAGGCTTTTACATGTAGAAGTTGCATTTGGTTTGCAGGGTTTTTTAACGCTTGCATACTATACATTTTCGTTGCCTGAAGTTGCATGTATTTTATCTCCAGAGAAAGGGCAGGGAGGACCACTGACCAGCGCAGCCGCCAGCTCGGACGCCTCCACTCCTGTCCCAAGAACCTCCAAAGTTAAAACTCAGCTCATTCTTACCAGACTGACTGCTGCTGATGGGATTTTAAGAAGCAACAATGAAATCAGGTAAGCGTAGTAGAGAGATTTTCAGGTCAGCCTCGGGAAGCAGTAGCCCGACTGCAGCTTTACGTTCCTGTACTTTACAGAGACAGTAGTTCTCCATTTGCACTTTGTTCACAGTTCAGGGCTTCTCTTTGGGATAGCAGGTGGTAGGCTACCATATTTGAGCTTTTTTTCTTCTTCACGTGGAAGTCTAAACTTGGCACAATCTCAGAGCACACCGAAAAGCTTCCTATCATCAGAGCTAAAGCACTTTTCGGATGCTGGATGTTTGGCTATTTCATGAGGTCTAAATAAATAGCTAAACAATTCCAAACAGAAACATCAGTCTCTAAAGGCTTCAGTCATTTCTCCTGAGTCGCCAGTATTTTGCAAGACAGAATGATATTTTCCTAGAAGCCACAAACTTCTGACACATATCTCCGGTCTGATGGTGTCGTGACGTAGTTTATATTCCAAGACTGGCAAAGGTTACAAACTCAAAAAAAGTCAGTTTGTATTAAGTTGAACAGAAAAAGGAAAAAAAAAAAAAGCCAAATGGCTTCATTTAAGATATTTAAATAATAATATTAATAGCCATTTAAATAACTGCTGCCACTTAGTTTACTTTTACTGAAGAAAATACCTAAAAATAAATGAAGACTCAGAGGCTAGCATAATTTGACGTTACTACAGCAACCCAACGGTCAGCAAAAACTGATTCAATTCTCTAATACACTTGTGTCCACCTTCAGTTCCCATGCATTATAGAATGAGGGAACATGCCTGAGGTTTTTGAAATTGTATCTGCACTGCAAATGGAAAGAAACTTGAACTTCGGGGAGCAGGAGGGGGGAATAGAAAGAAAAGTCCTCCAGTTAAAATAGTAACTTTTTTAAAAAAATTAAGTACAATATTCGCACTCCGTGGTGTATACGGTGAGTGTATTGAAACACAGTTTGCATTTCAACTTAGAACTTTAACAAAAGATGTATTACACATAGAACAGGAAAAAAAATACTTTTGTCTTCAAAGATTTAGAAGCAGAAGGTTCAATGATCTCAAGCTTTTTTCCCCTCCTCCTCTTTCCTTTCTTTTTTTTTTTCCCCTCCGAGAATTGAAGAGTGAAAAAAGGAAGTTAATTATCTGAAAACTTTCTCTGACTAGTACCCACAGTAAAAGCTACAGCTATATAAGCAGAATGCAGGACAAATAAGAGCAGATTTGCCGAGTGAAACCTGCATCCATATCATATGGATTTCAAGTGTTTACTTCAGACCAGCTTTAATCCCGCCCTAGGGACTCCGCAGTTGTTGGATCGTATTTGATGTGCTCCTCAGGCCCATCTTCCTGCTCAGTTTAGCCCATAAGGAATCCAGCTTGCACACTCTGGGACAGCTATGCAACATAGACTAAAGGCCGCTAAGTGGGGGTGATCGGAAGGTTCAGTTTATAAGTGCATTTTTACTCCACACTAAAATTGGAATGTACACACGCTGCAGTGCATTGCAACAAACTCTGGGTCATTCCAGTCGTCGGTCCGATGACCTGTCCTACTTCAGCAGCACGCTAGCCTGGCATATTTTTTAATGTTAGTCTATTAAAACATCCAATTTCAATACTATCCCGGATATTCAGTATTCTCTCAAGTACGTTTACACTGTTCTCCACACGCTGCTCCATTTGCCTCCGCTGACCAAGAAGATACAAAATAGAAATCAAATTTTATGCACTTTTTTTACACAGTTTAAAGCACTAGAGACAACGGGTGTTAAGCTTGGTTTTCTAAAACTTTCCCGTCTGAAGGAATAAAGCAATCAATTTTATATCTTCCAGTTTAAACCCACTGATAAGCGCTGTACAGTGTCCATTCCAGGTTCTACCCCTGGGGCCAAAACTTTGTTATTACATCATCTCATCTGTACTAATCAAGCCCTCTCCTGGACCACGTAAGGAGAAAAAAAAAAAAAACAAACCAGTTTATTTAATTCCTAGAGCGAAGGAAGCCAAAATGCATGTTGAAGACCATTCTCTTCAGAAAAAGAGCAAAACCCCTGAACATCAATCATACCTACTTCATCCTTTTGACTAATACATAGCAATTCTCATGATGCTACCAATTTTGTTCATCTGAAATGCCTCTACTAGTACCTCTGAGTTTCAAAGACACTGACATAATCTCTTGGCCAAAGGAAATCCATGTTTGTTTTGTTTCCTTAGCACCAGAAGATTTTATTAGCTAAGTAATGTTTCAGCACGTGCCAGGTGTTCATTTTAGTACAGGAGATTATGGAATTAAACAAAAAACCTCCCAACCACCCCTTGCAAGAAATGCGTGAGAAGAGGTAATCTTTCTTCTGAGCAGCCTGTACAGCGAACTCCTTTTAAGAAAAAGTCCTCGCACAGTCTGACTTTCAGAAGTTATTATGTACCTGTAGCTCTTGGAAGTTCTAGCAGCCAGTACAGAACCATGATGCCCACAGAGGAAAAGGGTGTGGTGGTAGCAGAGAAGGAACCCGGTCACCCAGCCTCTGTGGTTGGCCTCACAGGTACTCATAAGAGTTTTGCAAGACTGATTTCAGAAGGTGATTTTATATAGGCTTATCCAGACGCTGCTTAAGTATGTTAAGTACCAAGTCCAGGACTAATTTCATGTTTTACTCGGGCAAATTAAGAGCACTGTATTTTAATTCAACTCAAGGACCAGGTGTAAACACAGTATTTCAGGAGATGGAAGACCAGTTCAGGTTTATAAGTTTATCCATTTTCTCATATCTCTAAGTTGGTTTCAACTGAATCCTGTTTAACATGAAAATTAACTGTTGTTTGCCAGATTTTCTTTTTATTTAAACGAAAAGTCATTCGTGTGGTTGAACCAAAGCTTATCAGTTTGAAAAGAAACATAACAAGCTTCTGATTACATAGGATTTCTTTGCCCTGAGGACAATGGCCAAAGTTAGTAAGTCAAAGGCGGCTTCAACCACACTGTGTTTTTCTGCCCCAATACCCTCTTATGGCTGTCCAGCAAAGCCTGACCAAGATACAGAACTTCATGGATTATGTATGAGCAGACACTTTATCGCCCAAACTGCATAGTCATTGATTACCGTTCAGTCAGCTGCTCGGGGCTTTGAGCTGCTGGAAGGCTGGGTGGGGAGGGAGGTTTAGTGTCACTACTTTGTAATTCAGGAAAAAAAAGTTCTATATCCAGGCTGGTTCTTCACCATTAGGTTTTTTAGCAGTGGTCTTTTCCTGGCTCACCCAAAATTACTGTCTTAACCATTCAGTTAAACAGTAATTACAAGCAACCAGAACTTCAGTCTTGCAGCTTTTCGATGTAGTTTTTCAGCAAATAAGTATCAGCAAACCCTTGAAACTAACAATTTTCAGCAAGGTATTGCTTACGCTTGTCTAGCACCGTATCAGATTGCTCTACTGACCCCAGTAATTTTGAAAAAGCTAATAGCACAGCTTTTCAATCACACCCTAAGAGCTGAAAATACGCTCTTTTCACCTGCTATTAACATGCTCTGGTTTTCCCGCAATTCTGTTTCTACTTGAAATTTAGAAGAAAAAAACCCAACAATATTAAGACTCAACATTCACTCGCACCCAACATGAAACCATCGTGAACTTCTGACAGACACAAGTCGGCACTTACTGGAAGAGGATAAAGGAGCCAAAGAGTTACCAAGCGTTGTACCACCGACGGCGCTTAGCATTTATGTTCCCCTCATTTCACTGTTTCCACATCAATTTTTCACGTCATAAAAATAAGAAATGCAACTGTATAGCCACAAGACATAGTAAGGAGGAGCAGAGGAAGGTATAAGGCCCTGCAGCCCTTGCTTTCTTCAAGGCTGGATTTCAAGATAAGTTAGTTGGATCAACTTCCAAACAAGATTAACCCCTAAAGCTGCTAGCGATATCGGGACATCCCATTCAGCCCGGCGCCCTCCTGATCTGTTTAAAACCGAAAGCCAAACCCAGTCGTCGTAAAACTTGCCACAACGCTCTGCAAAGAGCCACGCGGGACTACCGACTGTTTGCACATTTTACAAGAAGCCTGGCAATAAAACATCTGCAGTGCTTGAGTTTTGCTGCGCTGTTGGCTCGGAACGGCACTCTCTATTGCTCCGACCAGATGTACTGCGCTTGATAGCTGACTTCGCTCAGTTAGCAGCATGAAGGAGACACGCAAAAAAATTCAAGCTGCTCCCAGTTTAAGCCATTCCCTTTCCGACGTCAGGCTACTCGCACCCCAACCTCCACTTCGCTGTCTTGCTCTGAAAACACCGAAGCAACTCGCAAATCGGGCGCGCTTTTTATGGAGAGGGGGCGAACAGCGTGGGCTGCGCGCTTCTGTATCATTTACCTACATCGATTTCCTCGAAGCCTGCCAGAAGTTTGCAGTCGGAAAGCACGGGGA